AGTCCCTTGAATTGACTCAGAACCCTGTTCGTAATCAATGACTTCAGTATGGGTGAATCTGCTAATCAAGCCACTGTGTTTTGAATCAATTGTAGCTTCTGGGCCATCTTCAAAAGTAGCCGCATGTAGAGACTGTTGCAATAATCTAACCTTGAGGTGATGAGAACATGAATCATTTCCTAGGGGGTCCTCATCCAGAAAAAGCCCACACAGTTGCTCAAGCAGTAACTGCAGGTACAGGAGGGGCCCCAAAGCAAGGATCTTCAAGGTTAGGGCAGCCTCATCTAGAACTGATCTATCTCCTTGCAGAGTGAAGATCTCCATATAATCCCAGATTTGTCTATAATTGAACACCGGTATACTGATGATACTTCACTCCTGAATTGTCACTCCTGAAATTTCATATAGATATTGAATAACAAGAGTGAGATAACTGAATCCTGGCTCAGTGGCCCAGTGGTGGTGCCGTGGTTAGAATGCAGTATTGCAGGCTGATTCTGCCTGAAGTTCGATCCTGACAGGCTCAAGGTTGACTTAGCCTTCCATCTTTCTGAGGTCAGTAAAATGAGGATCCAGATTGTTGGGGACAATATGCTGACTCTGTAAACCGCTTAAAGAGGGCAGTAAAGCACTATGAAACAGAATATAAGTCTAAGTGCTATTGCTATTCTGTGGGCCCAATAAAAATGAAGAAATAAATTTCCTTCACTGCTCTTATTGCCATGATTCCATGGTGCAACCATTCATTCATTGTTTGTTCTTTGCAAATGTCACTCTAGGTAAACTGTTTCACTTTCTGATGCTCCTGAGATAGCTAGGGAGTTTTCTCTGAGAAAAGTAATGTAGGAGATGCTATTAGGGATAATGATGCCTAGTCATCTTTTAATTCCAAAGAACCAGGTTCACATTGAGACAGCAGATTTGATCATTGGAAAAAAGCTTCAAGTGTCTTCTGGCAATAATTTAGACCTTTTTGTGCCTTAGTTACTCCATCTTAATTAATCAGCATTGATGTGGAGGTCAAGCAAGCAAGGCAGTGATTGACATGTGAACCAGAAAGTGATCCAACAGAGGGCTGATGAACTACCATCAGAGAATTTGGTTAGGTAGAGGATTGGAGGATGTGGTCAATCCAGTTTGGGGTGTTTTCATTTCTTAATCCATAACAGCCTGAACACACTTGGATGATACGGAAAAAGCTAAGCAGTATAATTTGCTTATTATTTGGATGTGAGACCACCCACAAGACCCAAATCTGAAGGCTGTCCTGGGAAGTTGTAAACAACTTTCTAGAAGATAGTAATAGCACACTACTTCCAAATTGATACCAAGCAAACTACATGGACATATTATTTGTAAGGTAACAAGGAATTGACTTGACTCGAGGGAATCTTTATCTTTTATTGCTTTTTAATTGTACCCTGAAGAAAGAAAGCCTAGTCTCAGAAAGCATGACTAGTAATAAAGAGAAATGAAAATGATGGAAAATTATATACACAAGCAAATGTGAGCTTCAGATCTAAACCTCTCTACGTGAGTAGCTGTGTTTGTTTTTTTCTTATTACTTAGACTTTAGCAAATGCATTTGCCAGTACATGTGTGCATAATGAACAAACCAGGATCAAATTAAGTTCAGACTTGGTAGTAAAGATATCCTGCCAAAGGGGAAAGAGGCAACTTCTGTTTGGCCATATATAGCCATGGTGACGCAGAGGTTAGTATAGCAGTATTGCAGGCTAACTCTAACAAGGTTGACTCAGCCTTCCATCCTTCCAAGGTTGGTAAAATGAGGACTCAGATTGTTAGGGGCAATAGGCTGACTCTGTAAACTGCTTAGAGAGGGCTGTAAAGCACTGTGAAGCAGTATATAAGTCTGAGTGCTATTGCTATATATAGTTAACCCCTAGTGCCTAACTGTTCCTTGGTGCAATTATTATTGGTTGGAGTGGGTTCCTGGAGATTAACCTACTGCTTCGGCCTACATGCCCCAGATTTTTTTAAAAACTGGTTTAAGATGGTTTTTTTTTAGTGTTTATGCTTTGCCACTTGAGTATGCAGACATGCATAGTTTGGTAGGAAAAAATGTAAGTATTACTTTCTCTCTTTAACATATCCCTGTACTTTCTTTCATTTTTCATGGAGGCGCCTCTTGTAGTTTGAGACAAAATAATTTGGGTGACAGAACTGATCCTGATTTTGAACTAATAACCATTATTTTAATCCTCCTAAGAGAATTAAATTCACCTCCAGGGATGTCTTTAGACATATGTGAGTGTCTGAAGCAACGTGTATTGATCAATCAATCAAGTATCATACATGGAATGCAATTTAATTATGGTCACATAGATGAACAAAAATTGATTGAAAGAATTTTGTGAAATTATTTAAATCAGTTTCTCTAATTTAAAATATAATGCTGACACAGGTATAAATTATTTAGTTTCCTTTTTAAACTGAATGCCAGAGCAGGTACTAAATTTAATTGTACTTTTTACGTTATTTTTTAAAAGCAAGAATATAATGTAGTGCCTCATGTCTTTTTTGGGGTGAGCAGGAGGGAGTGTGTGATTAGTCCATGTCTATAAATCTGAGACCATTCAATCCAAAATATTGTTATCAGTTAATTGGCATTCCCGCTTCTGAAAAGTTTTAGCACTAAATTAGCTTTGGTTGCTTGTGTTTAGCTAACTTTCTTTGTGAGCGTTTTTTCATGTGAACATAGAAATATTCAGATGTAATAATATGCACAGAGACATGCAATAAGAGAAACACAACATTTAATTGCAACAAATTTAATTTGTAAAAAAACTTAATGCGGATGTGTTTGGAATAGCATATATCGACAATCAAAAAGTATGGTTTTAATTGAGTTATTAAAACTAATATTCCCCCCCACCCACCCTCTTGGTAATTTTCAACTGCTGACTTGGTAGGATAATCCTATTCATAATTGCTTAGAAGTGAATCCTATTAAATTCAGTGGAGTTTCCTTCCAAGGAAGTAGATGTTAGATTAACAGCTTTAAAATATCAAATCAATTCATGTAGAAGGCCTGAAAATGCATGATTTAAGTTTCATTACCAGCTCATGAGATGGTTTTGAGTGTAGGCTGTGCAGTTCTTTGGTTTCAAAGGCTAAATGGTATTTCACAGTGTCCAAGGCAGGGGTCCTCAAACTTGGCCGCTTTAAGACTTGTGGACTTCAACTCCCAGAATCCCCCAGCCAGCCATGCAGATCTGTTAAGATACCATGCGGCCACTCCTTAGACCAGGGATCCTCAAACTTGGCCACTTTAAGACTTGTGGACTTCAGCTCCCAGAATTCCCCAGCCAGCCATGATCTGCATCTTTCCTGTAAATCATACATCTGTGCCTCCCTTCCCCACAGCTATAGTGACATTGCTGGAAAAGATGTGTACCACTTAAAGAGTTGCACTCAGATAATACAGGTAGTCCTCGGCTTACTGCCACAAATGAGTCCAAAATTTATGTTGCTAAGTGAAAAATTTGTTAAGTGAGTTTTGCCCCATTCTATGACTTCTCTTGCCACAATTGTTAAGTGAATCACTGCAGTTGGTTAAACTGGTAACACGGTTGTTAAGTGAATCTGGCTTCCCCATTGACTTTGCCTGTGAGAAGGTTGCAAAAGGTGATCCCATGACCCTGGGACACTGCCACCGTCATAAATATGAGTCAGTTGTCAAGCATCCGAATGTAAATCATGTGACCAACGGGATGCTGCAACAGTCATAAATGTGAAAAATGATCATAAGTTGAGATCGGAAAGCCTGGGTACAAAACTGGAAAAACTGGGAAAAAACAGGGTTTTCCCCCCATTTTTTTCCAAAAGGCTTTAGGAAAAAAAGGGGAAAAAACTCCTTTCCCCTCCCCTATTCTCCAGTTTTTTTCCAGGCCTTCCCATGTCTAATAAGTCACTTTTTTCAATGTCGTTGTAACTTTGAACAGTCACTAAATGAACTATTATAAGTTGAGGACTACCTGTACTTACATGCCCACTAGCATTCCAAAGAAATGTTTCCCCTTTGAATCTGGGGAAGGCAGCACAGCTTTAATTTTTATCAGTTTTAGGATGGTTTGTGTGCCGTCTCAGAATTCTTAGTCCTCTGGCTGAGAACAGAAGGGATTCTCTTGCATTGGAAGGTTCACTGAAGATAACTGAGCTTAGTTCCTCTAGGGCAGGGGTCCCCAATCCCCAGTCCGTGGACCAGTACCGGGCCGCGGCATGCCAGCAACTGGTCCGCACAAACAAGCAAAACCCCATCCGTGGGATGCAGGCAGCACCACAAAACCACGCACCCTCCGGTCCGCAGAAAAACTTCTCTCCACGGAACCGGTCCCTGGTGCCCGAAAGGTTGGGGGCCATTGCCCTAGAGAAGGAAAGAATGACTAAAGTGCTCACTGGCTAACTATGGACTTTTCCTTTAAATCCTGCCTGACCAAATAAAAGTACAGGTGGTCCTCAATTTAACATCCACAACTGAGCCCCAAATTTATGTTGCTAAGCAAGACAGTTGAAGTGAATTTTGCCCCATTTTATAACCTTTCTTTCTTGCCATAGTTGTTAAGTGAATCATTGCAGTTGTTAGTCATTGTGGTTAATGATTGAAGTTGTTAATCGTTGCGGTTGTTAAGTGAATGTGGCTTCTCAGTTCCCTTGCTTGTCAGAAGGTCACAGCTGATCACAAGACTCTGGGACACGGCAAAGGTCATAGTTACGAGTCAGTTGCCAAGTGTCCTGAATTTTGATCATGTGACCCATGGGGATGCCGCAACAGTTGTTAAGTGTGAAAAACATAAGTCACTTTTTCAGTGCTGTTGTAACTTTGAACGTTCACTAAATAAACTGTTGTAAATTGAGGACTACCTGTATGCAGGTTTATGGAGCGTTATATGTGCCTCCTGATAATCTACCTTTGCTTCCACCTTGAGCATTTTGAGAGACCAGGAGACTCATTTTAAAAATTATTCTCTTCTCTGCAGAATTATGGCCTTGAAACAGACAACATGAAGAACTTGATTCTTAAGTTACGAGCTGCATCCAACAATCTGCAAAACTACATTGGCACCCGGAGAAAGAGTTCAAACTACGATGGGAATAGCTCACGCAAACCTCCTAATGAATTCCTTACCTCCGTGGTAGAACTCATTGGTGCTGCTAAGGCTCTGCTGACATGGCTGGACAGGTAAGAGTCTGTATGCTGTTAAACTCAGCAAACAAGAAGGTAATTCATGTGTCTAGGGGTGATCTATTCTTGGCTTAGTAGTAAGATTTTTTCCCCCTCTTTGCCCATCTTTTTGCCAAGGCAGATATTTGAGTGAGCCAACAGAAATATTTTTTTTTTTTTAAATCTCCCTTGGATTTCCTTTTCTAACACAGGTCTCCTATAAGCGACCAAATTCCTTATTATGGTAACTAGGCTGATTTACATTTTGCAATTGATTCTTAAACAGGAATATGCAGAAGGCAGTGTGATTGCGTGCAGTAGTGATTGTTCCCAGGTGAGAAGATGCAGAATTGCAGCCTGGATTGCCTGTTTCCTCACCAGGGCGTGAAAGGAACCAAGTCAGAAGCTTAAAGAGAAATATATTGGGAGAAATGTCTTTACTTTCTAGCTAATCTTGTGGATTACAGTGTAGTGACAACTGCAGTGGAAGATGACATTGAGAAGATTCTGCCACTGTCTGGAGGTAGCACAGAACCTCTTGCATCTTTCCAGCTTGTGAGACAGGAAATGTAGAGGAGAGACATTCTGAGAGAGACTTCAGGATGTCCTTCAGTTGGACTTTGTTCCCAGACTTGGGTCATATTTGTTGTTCCTTCCTTTCTACCTCTCTGTCTACTTACGTACCTATCTACGTATCTAGAAGGCTGAAATGTTCTTCTGCAAGCAGAGAAGTATGCTTGCATTTTTGTGATTGCAAACTATATTCAAAGATTAGACTAAGTTTCCCACTGTAAGACATAACCAAGGGCAGAAGAATTAACATTCAATAAACTATTGGTATGCAATATTTGGAGGCGAAGCAGACAATGGTAGTTCAGATCTGACATCAGTTACCTTGCTGTACCTTCTGGTAATCCCATAAAGGAACTGCTTCTTTTCCTCAGCTTGACCAGCAGCTTTGCAAGCTTAGGAAAATAGTTCAGTTCAAGAATATCCTTAACTCAAACTTTTTCTGGAGCCCAAACCTTATCAGCCCAGGAAAAGTTATGGCTCCTTCAAGGAGCTGCAAAAACAGTACAGCAAGGGGCCCGGTGCTAATCCTTAGCACTTTGATTGCTTCAAATCCAGACTGCACATATCATTTTGTCCTTTCAAGAGCCTTCTGAAGCAATTTATGCTGAGAGAAAAACAATCCTGCATCAGATCACTTGGTGAATTTCATAGATGAATGAAAAGTTGATCCTGGGTCTCCCAAGTTGTAATCCATCACTTTAACCAGTGCAGAAGCAGGAGGCCCATTCAGTTTGTCACTCACATAAAACTGCTGTTTGAGTACAAAGGAGCTTCAGGGAAATATCTTTAGCTTTGCATTTTGAAGTATGTTCTTTTTTCTGTGTACACACACACACATCAGTAGGAAGTGGGAGGAAGTGTATATATTGTATACATACATGGAGCAAACCTTACACTCACTAGTACTGATTATGTTACATAGTTGGATAACTACTTATTTATTAAATGTATATGCTGCCCATCTCACCCATAAAGTTGGGTGGCTTCCAAAATAGTAAAAATATAAATATAAAAGGAGATAAGATTAAGAAGACTTAAATACAAACTAAAACCAAGGGGACAGGCAGCATTCATCCCTATAAGCAAACAACCAAACTCAGAGAGCACTAAGGTAAAGGTCCCTAACCTATGATCCACGACGCACTGCCAGACCATGGGCTATTGGCCACCAGGCCACGGGACAGACTGGCCAGGGCGCACATGTGTGCGCGTGCACCCCCCCACTGGCGCTAGAGATCACAGATCTGTTTGCGCTAGCGGTGATGGCTAGCGCCTGCACGCATGCACAAACGGGACTGCTAGCCCTGTGCAGGTGCTTGCAGCCCCGTTCATGCGTGCGCGTGCGTGCAAATTTCCCACCTGCTCCCTTTTCCTCTGGGCCGCCAGCATGAAAAGGTTGGTGACCTCTGCACTAAGGACTCCATGCTTTTCTTTCTCTGGATTTCAGAGCAGCCATTTCTAGCAGGATGGCTGCTACATCGTAGCAGACTCCCCACTTTAGTTTAGAGTATTGGAAGCTTCCCAGTACAATTGTTTTCCCTGGATTTATAAGGAGATAGATGCTTCCACAGAATGAAAGGCAGCTCATATACCATCTGTACCTCCCAAGCTGATTTTGTCTCTGCCTTGACCTCTCCTGCAGATACTGAGAGAATCAGGTGACTGGCTCTCTAAAAGGGCTTTTGTTTTCCAGCCCAATTCTATATTTAGAGTGAGATTAAATACAAATATTGTCTTTAAAAAATAACTTTGTATTTTAATGTACGACCTTGCAATTCAGTGGGCTGCTCATAAATTGCATAAATTGCTATCAGAATTGACTTTTCAAACCAAGCACACATAGTGGATGTTGGCATTCATTAATTTGTATCCCTTGGTTTTGCTGCCAAGAGATAAGTGATGTTTTCGTCTCTAGCCTAGGCAAGTGTTCGTCTTTGTTTACTTTGTCCCACAGATCAATCAGAATCATTTTTTCTTATGTGAAAATGTTGAGTGAGAGGCAATTGGTGATGCTGTGGCAGTGGGAGCATTTTTAGCTGCTTTTAATGCATAATTTGTGAGCAAATAATGTCTGGGGACAGAGTTAGAAAACACTTTTCTTTGAGGGCTCTTTGTTGCTCTCTGAGCTTGATTGTTTTCTTGCAGACGTTTCATTACCCAAACGTAACATCATCAGTGCTGCACATCAGTGATGTTATCTAGTTTGGGCAATGAAATGTCTGCAAGAAAACAACCAAGCTCAGAGCACCAAGGACCCCTCATTTCAATCCTAGACTGCAAATATTCTCCTTTATTGATAATTCCCTTTATTTTGGCTTACAGCAGGGGTCTTCAAACGTGGCCCTTTTATGACTTGTGGACTTCAACTACCAGAATTCCTCAGCCAGGGTGACTTGTCAATTTGAAGATGTGTGGACTTCAACTGGGGAATTCTGGGAGTTGAAGTCCACACATCTTATAATCGACAAGATTGAGAAACACTAGTTTGGATAAAGGAATGAAATACACTGGATATATTACTGGCAGGGAAGCATTGCTGGCTGTGGGATTCTGGGAGTTGAAGTCCACATGCCTTAAAATTGTCAAGGTTGAGAAACACTGTGTTAGAACTTTAAGGATTCTTGCATAAGGATTCTTGCAAGATGGAGAGATAACTCACTTTGTAGATTCTCAATTATATTAAGCTCAAGGACTCTTCTTAGTAGAGGAAGGTTCATTGTACCATTAAGCCATCCAGTTGAGCTGATATTATATACCATTTCATGATACCCATGAAATGACCATAAAAAGAGCTTATAACCAAGTAAATAGACATGTACTACAAATAGCTACTATTTTCTGCTGGATTCCCTTTTTCCCCATGTTTCTGTCTGTTTCTTTTTTTTCTTCCCTTGATCTACAGTTGCAAGAAAAAGTATGTGAACCCCTTGGGATAACACAGAGTTTTGCATGAATTGGTCATAAAATGTGCTCTGAACGTCATCTAAGTCACAACAATAGAAAAACACAGTCTGCTGAAAATAATAATGCACAAACATTACATGTTGCCATGGTTTAATTGAACATAACATGTAAACATTCACAGAGCAGGGAGG